CACTGCCTCCTGGAACCCCTTCAATGAGCTATCAACTTTGGGCCTGTCTTCTTTCAAAAGGACTCAAAACTGAAAAACACCTTTTTTCCCTCTCGGCAGCTCTAAAGTGCAAAACCAGCACCCATCCCCCACTCGGGCTCCCTGGCACGAGGGCGACTCTGGGGGCCAGAAGGGGGGTGGGAGTGTGCGTGAGGACCCAACATGTTACAGCTGCACAGCATTTCTAGGGGAAAAGCCCCTACAGATCTCCTCAGAAAAGCCACACAGGGCTTTGCGTGGACTGAAGCAACACAGAACGGAGTTCATGCCAACGTGTTGCTGCAGCACCGCCGGCGGTTCTACTCGCCAGCACGGCTCCAGGCCGCAGCCGAGCAGTGGAAATTTCCGTACGTGCTTCATCACGGGTTTGTACCAGTGCCAGAAGGCGGAGCCGAAGAGAAGAGGAACCATTCTGCGAGCTGGCCGTCATGAAAAATTCATGTATGTGAAAACCCAGCGAGGTGGAATAACCTCAGCACTGTTTCTTCGCTACGAAGCCCCATCCCGCGGCCCAGGAGGGACAGACCCAGAACCGAGCAGATGACACATGAGTAGGCCACTGGGTCAGCTGGAGGAGTTGCTGCTCCATGTGCAAAAATACTGCCAGGTACAATTTTATTTCTAAAGCGGATTTGCCATGAGCTCATTTTTTAGTATCTCTGATATTATCAGAGTAATTTACAGAGCTTTTTTTTTTTTATCATTTTACATGCAAATGTTAAGAGGACCGCTCACCTTACACTGAACAAGACCCTTCACCCTCAAGGAGCAGTCCCCCTAGATGCACCTTTGGTGTTATTCAGAAACACCAAAGGCAGAAAAATTCAAGACTTGGTAAAAAAACCCACTTCAGTAACTCACATCACATCTCTAGATTACTTTTGAGTCTATTATTGCAGCTTCTAAAGGTGGCTAATTTGGCCACATAATTACACTTATGTCCACTAAGAATCTACCAAAAAAAAAAAAAAATCTGTATTAGGAGTCACAAGGTGCATCTCCTCCCATGACTTCCCAATTAAGTTTCCAAAACACATTTTCAAACAGACTGACTTGCAAACACCTATCTGGGTTTCAGTTTAACATATGTGGCTGGTGCTATCTCCTATCTAAAGGGAGAGAGGCACTTTGTTCTTTGTGTCACTGTTAAAAAAGACCGCAGTCTGTCACTGTTAATTCACAACCTACAAGTTTTTAAAAAACAATCTTTCCATGCATTTAGTTTTAGGCAACTGACCTGGAAACTTGGGCAATGAACATGTCATGTCATATTTCAAAGATAAATAACCATCTACTTCCTTGTCATCAGCATTGAGCAAGGGGAATGTCACAAAGCCAATTAAAAACTTATTTCCCCATTGCCAACTGCAGTTTTAGACTCAAGTGTGGTAGGTATTCCAGGACTTCAGCTGAAGTTTTCATAGCAACAGTGAATGACCACAAAAGTACCATCAACTGATAGAACTCCCCAGAAAAGGCAGAAATACATAATTAAGATGCAGGTTAGGCTGTGGTTAAGAACATCACAAGCAGAGCCTCAGAGGAAAATAATCACCAAGAGCTAAGCACAGACTAGCAAAAAACATGAAATGTAAAAGGAAAGTCTGACTTAGGCTCAAAATAACCTAGACAGAATCTTGCCTTGATTCTTGCAGACAGAACTTTACATACATCAAGCTGCAGTTGTTAAGCATTGTTAAACTTAAACTAATCATTGTTACTGATAAACAAACAAGAGGAACTGAAAGTCAGTATTAACTGGAATCTTAATATACCACACTTGAAAGCATGAAGTACTTTAACCCCAGGATCAATTATTATTCCAGCTATGGTCCTCGTCAAGGAAATACTGTTGCTTTGCTCAACATGGGTGGTGTTTTGAGATTAGAGTCATTTGTGTGTACTGCAAGTCTTGAAAAAAAAAAAAAAGTCCACGAAGCATGTTCATGGATTAACAGCCCACTTCCCTCCCCGCACCTCCACAAAGAAATCACTGCTCAATACCAGTTTAAGTATAATTTGAAGTTTTAATACTAAGATCTTCCCATTTCTCTGAAGCTCATAGTAAGCCCGCATGCTAACTCACAAGGCCTGACAGCTGTAGATACATTACACTCAAGCCTAGTCTGCACATATGCTCATGTGAAGGCAACAGTTATGGTGCTGCAAAAGCTTCCTACGCCTGTAGCAGCTCGTTAGCAACACCTCTGCAGAGTACTGGTTAGCAAGACTTTCAGCTACACCATTACTCCAGCAGATCTTTTCCAAAAACTGGCCCTATGCTAGTGAGACAAGGAAGAGTACTGTTTCCAACAGTTACTTAGAAGCCAGCTTTAGTTTTCTTCCCCATCAAAGCAGAGCCTGCCATGCTAAGCAATCTAGCCCAATCAAGGCAAGGCTGTTTTCTGTATAAGCTTAAATGTTTAATCAGACACAGTTGAGAAACCTTTCTAGAATTTAATATAAAAACATTTGACATTCCATTAATGTAAAGTTGTGCACATGTTGAGAAAATTGCCATCTGAAAGAAAATTCGGTCTTCAAATATCTTTATTGGAAGGCCATGCACTGCCTTCTGTTACTGTATTTCAAATCACTGTACATTTACTTTGAAAACACTGTCTGCATTTTCTAGTACAAAAAACTAAAAATTGTTTCAGGAATGTAGAGAAATATTCAACTTAAATAGCGAAAAAGTGCACCATAATTACTGCTGCACTGCAGTCATTTCTGCATTTCCCATTTCTTAAATAACTATCCTGTTTTGATAACACACAATATAAAGAGCAATTATGAAAAACTGAGACATTTAAATACACTAAGTTATTGAGAATAACTTGTCGGCATTGGGTAACCTATCATAGGAGCAGCACCAGTGGCAGGATATGCATACTGCTGTTGGTTCATGCCATTGTGCATATTTGCAATATTACTTCCATACTGCTGATCATAGCCATTCTGGTAAGCTCCTGCAGCAGGGTTACCAGCCCTGAAGCCAGCCTGCATGCCTGCAGCTGCAAAGCCATTTCCAAAAGGTGTTCCATTACTGAAACTCTGGGCACTGTAAGCCCCATTTTGAGTTTTTGCTCCAAAGTCTCTCTTTCCTAGCGCACCATAGGTTCTCTCAAAGTTCTCCCTCTCTCTAAAACTACTAAATCCACCCCTTTTGCCCGCAGAATATCTGTCACGTCGATCACCTCGGGAACGACCTATTAAAAAAAGACAAGACAGTTATATATATCAAAGGCTGCATTTTACAGAACGCCAAATGAGTTCAGCTAATGAGAGAATAGTATTTCCCCTTCTGCCCCAGCAAGGCCAATCTACTATAGCTTTCCAGTTGCTAACTGGATTCTAGTTGATGAAGACTATTTTGATAGAGAAAGCCATCTAACCTACGAGGAGTCATATACGTTCCCCTGTGAGTGGTGGTATCAAGGCAAAAAGTCACTTTCATCTTGCCAACAGGACACTTACATCCATCTTTCCTAGCCATGAAAGAAGGCCACAAAACTGAGCTCCGAAGTGTTTATTTCAGAGCAAATCCTCAGAAGCGCATCATCTTTGGCCAGCACTAGCCACGGATGCACCACAGCATGAGTGTGGAGCATTCAGGGGGAAGGGGAGGGTGTTGTTTTTGTTATTGGTGTTAATAAATACCTTTTCGGGTCACTGTAACTGGTAACTAAACCACCTTCCACATCCGTTTTGGAGAGGCTGGAGGTGGAATTTGAGTTTCCATTTTGTTCTGAGAGGAAAGCTATGCATATGGTCAAGAACAGTACTTACCTGAACCTCTGTCTTCAATCAACTGAAGCAATTTGGGGTTGATGGCTTGATTAGCCTCCCGAAGCACAGAGATGAGGTCATTTACTTGCTTAATATTGTTAGGAGTAAAGAATGTGTATGCTGTGCCTGTTTTGGTACTGCGGGCAGTTCGTCCAATTCGGTGGATATAGTCCTCTGAGGAGTTAGGGTAGTCATAATTGATGACAAATTTCACATCTTCCACATCTGTAAAGTGTTGCAGTGTGGCAAAAAGCAAGGTACAAAGTTTTGCACACCACAACAGCCAAATCGAAGATAAACATTAGACAATAGTACTTTAAAGGAAATAATGGCTGCAAAGAAGTGTTAGAATTATCCATTTCTGCATGAGTATTGTGGAAGAGAAAGTTATGCACACTCCGTCTGTTCCCGTCTCATCACCCACCCTGTGATCCAAAACCTTACCATAAAGGAGTATGCATTTGCTTGTCATTCCCAACTCAAGAGTCCCCTTTACAAATCATCAAGTGACATCTGAATGCTTCTTGCAGTAGGGCCACTAAAGCTCACAGCAGCCTCTTCATGTGCTCATTTGAGGACCTTAGAGTAAAAACATACAAGGTCCTTCACATACACACTCATTAGAAGCTCAAAAAAAAGGGGCCACACTGCTCGTCTTGCCAAGACCTTTGAACCGCAGCTGCAAGAAAAACATACCTGTCCCCCCAAAGTCACCAAGTTGTTTTTATGCACTGTGTCTCGTCTAGGCAAGCGCTTCCAAGAAGCCAGGGTTCACTTGAGAATGTGTCTCTCTCTGGCAGGTCTCGACATGACGACTATGTATAGGTGGAGGAACTTCGACTTTCAAAGGCATTTGAAAAGCCATTGCTTTCCTGCCCCACTTGCTAAAGTGAGAGGTGGACTTTTTCTCAGATTTCATGTGCCAGTACTCACCAATTTGTACAAGGCTTAGTACATTTTAATGCTGCTCTCTCCATTTCATGGTTGAAAAAAAAATTTCATTGAACATTGAAGTTCGTAATTGTTTTCTTCGACATTTCAGCAAACTCACTGAAATTCAAGGACCCACAGATCACAGCAGACAGTATGCACAAAACTAACAGTACTGCACCATGGCAAATCATGCAAAGCATGGAGAGGAGAGAAATACCAGGGCAAAGTGAACTGTGAATGAAACTGCTTATTTCATGAGAGAACAGTTTATGGGGTAGTAGTTTAAAGGATGATCTTTGCCTTTTGAAGATTACTGGCACACAATGCTCTCAGCTTTCACCTCTCTATTTGACTGGAAGCAGCCAGCCGATCACTTCCACTAGTCCTCCATCCCCCTCGAGTCCTCCGATTGTCATGCCTAGGCCTTGCCACAAAGACTGCACCTTTATGTGAAGAAAACTTAGAAAAATGCAGAGGTTAAAGAAAGCAATAGACTTTCTTTAAATAGCTTTGGGCAACTGCCATTACAAGTTGTACTAACCTAGACCTCTGGATGCAACATCTGTAGCAATCAGGATTGGTGCTTTTCCATGTTTGAATTCTGTAACACAAGCAACTCGTCAGTTTCTTCATTAAGTAACACCGATCATACACTTGTAGGAATAACTGAAATACTCACCATTTAGAACCCAGTCCCTCTCCTGCTGACTTTTATCACCATGAATACCCATTGCTGGCCACCTGAAAACACAGAACTCGACTGACCTCAGAACATCCCCCAAGTAGTTTCATTCATCAAAGACAGGGCTACTGGCAATGTGCAAATAGCTTATGCAGTTAACACTTTAACTGACACCTGGTGTCACTGTATTTGACAGTTTTGGCACCACAGCTGGTCACTCATGAAGAATCAAGAGCAATCTTAAAGTTCAGGACTCACCCATCTCTCCTCATTTTCCTGGTAAGATCATCACACCGTCTTTTGGTTTCCACAAAAACAATTGTTTTATTTTCCTTCTCACTCATTATTTCTTCCATCAAACGAATAAGCCTATCATGAAGAGATGATAGTTAGAGCTAGGATTGATTTATACTGTGTTTTCACAGCCTGATTTTTTTAAAAATTTTTTTTATTAGTCTTAGACTGGAATCAAAAATCCATCAAAACATTAGTTCAGTTAATCTAAAACTAAATCATTAAAAAAATACTTTGTCCCCACTAACTTACTTGTCATCTTTCTCTACATCATGACACACATCCACAATCTGAAGAATGTTATGATTTGCACTTAGTTCTAATGCACCGATGTTGATGTGTACATATTCTTTCAAAAAGTCTTCAGCCAGCTGTCTTACTTCCTTTGGCCATGTAGCACTCCACATCAGAGTTTGCCTGTCAGGCTGGAGAAGACCACTAGATCAGTACAAGATCAATATAGTCAAATGCCCAACCAAAAAAAAAATTACCCAGGCAAGTCTGAAAAAGTTAATTGCACTGCCCTTGCTTCAATGAGCTTAAGTGCCTGAACCATTTATACTCACTCTTATCTGATCCACAATTTTTCTGATCTGAGGTTCAAATCCCATGTCAAGCATCCTGTCAGCTTCATCAAGGACAAGGTAAGTACACCTCCTGAGATTGGTCTTTCCAGCTTCTAAGAAGTCTATAAGTCTTCCAGGTGTTGCAATGCAGATTTCCACACCTAAAAACAAAGCAGTAAAGTCAGCTGAAGTCGTTTTTGCATTGGCTTATACAGAGATACATCAAGGCTTATCCATACCTCTTTCTAAGTCACGAATTTGTGGTCCTTTCGGAGCACCTCCATAAATACATGTAGACTTCAAACGGCATGCTCTGCTATATTCAGCAGCTACCTGCTGCACTTGTTGAGCCAGCTCACGAGTTGGTGCCAACACAAGACACTAGAAATAAGATGCCCAGCTTTTAGTTCAATACTTATTTGAAGCTTCTAGTCTGACACTAGTTTTAAACAGAAAGGTTGTCATATACTAATTACTTCAGTGCCACAATGACAAAAGTGGATTTAAGCAACCCAGAACAGCAAACTAAACTATTTAGCATCTCAGTTACCACCAAACATTGACTTATGCTGCGTGGTAAGATATCTGAAAGTCACTAGCTTCCAGGGGATAGCAATTTCCAAAATGGGACATCTAGCCCTGTTCTGTACAGTTTTAACAACAATCTAGTCAGAGCTTATGGAATGTTTTTTGGGACACTACCAAAACATGGAACCATTTTAGTCATACAGAGAAACAAAATACAGCTGTGTATTCCTACAAGGATGGACAATCAGATCAAAAAAAATAAACACATTCTCTAGAAATTAAGATCCTCTTTTCATTTAGAAATACTCACAATAGGTCCATCTCCTCGCTCCAGGAATGGCTGATGATTTATATGCACAATAGCAGGCAACAAGTACTGTTTGGAAGAAATGAAAGTCTCATTACAATCTCTTCCCAGAAGTGTTCAGCCTGCACTAAGCCAGGCTTATGTTCACTTCTGAAATCCAGCAGTATTCCAGGCTACAATCAAAACTTACAGACAGTGTTTTCCCTGATCCAGTCTGTGCCACTCCAACCATATCCAATCCACTCAATGCAACAGGCCAACCTTGTGCTTGAATAGCAGTTGGTTCAGTGAAGTTCTGCCTCTGAATTACTTCCATAACATTTGCTTGAAGAAAAAAAAACAAAATTTATTAACTTGCACTTTGCCTTAAGCCTGGAAGAATGACCAATACACTAGTCTTCACTTACCAGGAAAGTTAGCTTCATAGAAGTTTATAATCGGCTTTGGACAGTTATGGCCCCTAACTGTGACTTCTTTGCTTGATCTGTACTGTTCAACTTCTTGCTGCAAGATAAAAATCCCATTATTGGAAATAAACTTTGATACTAAAGTTATCTTTTAAGTTACCCCATCCATGCCTGTTGGGCCCCATGACCCTCTCAGCATGTTTGCACTTATTTATTTACTTTTGCGTGAGTTGGACAGGGTACATACCACAGTACGTCTAACTACATCAGGATGTTCTTGATAGAAGTTCTTCTCAAATTTGGGCAGCTCATCTAAATTCCATTTCTTTTTTGTAAGTTTTTCCCCAGGGTTTCCAAATTTCTTCCCAGAGAGAGGCCCACCTCTACTTCCTCCAAAACGGGGGGCTCCAAACCTAGAGAAGACCATAACATAGAATCCAACAGAAATATTTTAGTCTTTTTATACAACTTAACCACTGCCTTTGCAGTCCACCCTGTAATTTTACAATCCAGATTTATAAAACCCACCTACAGGATACTGAAATTTCAAAGATACTTAAGTTGCAGATGCCACAGTCTGCCTAGCTTTAACTCAGATTCAGAAGCCAAGGTAACACCTATCTTTGCAGCTTCCATAAGATGAAATTGAAAAGCCTAATAGCAAGTTACAACATAAGCAAAGTACAGACATTAAAACGTTCATATTGCCCCATGATCAAAATGGTCTCCCACCCAAGTGACACTCCCATTGTGTGTCAGCCTGCAGAAAGTGGGCAGGAGATGTTACGAAACCTTAGGTTAACTTTCCCGTAAACCGTTTTCTCGTATCCCAAAAGATACAGACTTCTCTCAATAACGGTGTTTTACGAGGCCACGCATTTTATGATAGCATTTTAGGTTCGGTCCCTCCGTTCAGAAAAGGCTCATCTCGAAAGCCTGTCCTGGCAGCCCTGCGGCGCAGCTCGAAGCAACGCTAAGCCCCGCACTGAGGGCCGCTAAGCTGGATCTGAGCTTGGGGCTCCCTCCCCCGCCCCGATCGCTCCCCGGTTTCGGCCGGGCAGGCGCTGGGAACGATCCTCCCCAGCACAACACAGCGCTCCCAGAGGGGACCTGGCTGAGTGGCCGCTGCTTCCTGCCAGCGCTGTTTCCTTTGTCTCTCATTTCTGTCTACGCCACATTTTCCAGCCGCTGCCATTTTAGACTCTGAGCTGGGCGGGGGAAGGAGGAGGAACAAAGGCAGCAGCCGGCATTTTGATTTCCCCTCAGTCACCGCATGGCGGGGCCGGCCATTAACATCCGCTTACACAACACAAAGCGGGAGCCGGCCGGCTTCTGCCAGCAACAGCCGGAGCCGCCGTCCCTTGCGAAGAGGAAGGGAAGAAAAGGGAACCGCCCTACCGAGAGCTCCCCAAGGCTTCGGCATCGACGAAGCGCCCGGCCAACCCACTGACCCACAAACCACCAGCCAGCCCGCCGCTCCCCAGCCCACCCCCACTGACGGGGGGCGGGGGGGAATCGACCTCTGCGTGGATCATCCGTACTCGGGGGTATGTCCCCGAAGGAATGGGAGGCCAGTCTCTTTCCCCCCACAAAAAAAAATACCCACCCGCGCTCCTCGTAAACGGTCACGCACAAGCGGGGGTTGCGCTGAGGCGGATGGACTAAGCCCCATCACAGATCGCGCAGCCACCCACGCACAATGGCCGCCCTCGCCAAGAACTCCTAACGCCAGCTCCCCTCCCCCAGCCTCCCCTCGCGAAGCTGCGGAGACCTCGAGACGGCAAGAGCTGAGGAGAAGGGCTCCAGGGCCCAACCCTCGCGACTCGCCGCCATTTTAAACGGCTGAAAAAATAACCACCGGAACCCCACAGTCGGTCTAAGAGTCCGGACGCTGGCGGCGGCTAGCGCCGGCCGGGCCCCCGGACTCACCCTCTATCCCTGTCGCTGGAATACCCGGGCATGGTGATGGTGGGCGAGACGATCCCGGTCACTTAAAGCGGGTGGCGAAAGGGTGGATAGGTTCCTTCGTCGTTGGTGGGGGCCACTGAATGTAGAGCGCCTCGCCGCCCGGATGCCGGTTATATAAGGGGGCCGCGGGGGCTGCCGGGAACCGGCTGGTGACGCACGCGCAGAACCCTCCCCTTCTCTTATGTAAGGGGCCCGAGCTGGCCGGAATCCCCGCCCCCTCCCGTGTGGGCAGGGCCGCCGCTCGTGGCGCCGGCTCGTCCCCTGGTTGAGGCCTTTCCTCGCTGCGCGGCCGCGGATCCGCCTCGGCCCGAGGGAGCGGGGATTTCAGAGCTTCACAGATACTTACAGTGGCTGTGGAAAGCCGCCTGTAGGTGTTCCGACAGATAAGACCCAGGCTTAAGTGGAATTGGAACGTTTTAACGTGATAACTTGAAGGAATGGTAGATTGAGCCACACATCTCCCTGGGATTTTCGAGAGACTGAAGGAATTAGATGCACAGCTCGTCACAGGTTGGACACAGATAATCATCATAGCAGATTATTAAAAGCCACTTTGAGCAGTGCGTTTAGACAGTTACCCATTGCCTGGGCACTTTTATAACTATTAAATGTATGTGATGAGAAATAGTAACTATTTTTATCATTTGAAATTCCTCAACAGGGCTAGTAAAGCAATTCAAAGGTCACAAGCAGTGCAGCAGTGCACTGAAGGACAGGGCTGTTCAGAAAGCACAGGTATAATAAACATGAAATACCTGATACCATGTTGCTTATCTGCCCTATTTTGCCAGCTTACAGAATAATTTTAATGTCTCACTACCTGGGGCTTTAAGCATACAAAAGAAAAGGTGAAGCTTGAAACATAAATATGAGCAGCCATATTGCCACACCACCTGCTTTAAGCAGTGGCCAATGCAAATGAAAACAACATAAGGAAGAAGTGTCATAACAACACTCCGTTTGCATCCTCCCACCTTCTTGCAATCCATGCTTTAAGGCTTTTCCGAGACAAAAATAGCATAACTGTATTTGATGGCCATTTCTTCCCATTTTTGTTATATTTATGCTCTTAGCTTCTAAGATACCATGACTGTGTTTCATGGCTTAATTGTTCACTACCTGAAAAACATTCCCTTTCATTTTCAACACATCGCCTGGTAAGAACAAGGGGCATGAAACAAAATGAGTTATTAGAAATGGTGAGTAATAATTTTCTATTTATTTATACCCTTTGTGGACATTAATCTTTTCTAAGTCACTCCTTTGTAAACCAAAGCTGCAGTCTATCTAATGCTTTCTCCTTTAAAAACAGTTCCACACTTCTGATTATCCTTACCATTTTCTCTTTATTGACAAGAAATGCACACAGTATTCAAGATCTGGGCCCCTTTAGATTTACATAATGAAAGCATCAGGATGTTTTTGATCTGTTGTTGATTTTCCTGTATATTTCCTAATAATTTTTTCCTTTTTTTTTGATTGTTCCTAAGAATGTAGCAAGGCTTTCAAAGAATAGTACTAGATGTTTCCATGATCTCTTCCTCAAAAGTAACACCTAAGTTAGGCTTATCGTTGTTTATGAATAGCCACAGCTGTTCCCTCTTCAGTAATTTGGAATACCACCTTGATCAATCACTTTTTCTTATTTTTAATTTGTTCTTTTAGTAGCACTTAAATTTGACTAGGTTCCTTAATACTATTCTTGATACCTGCAAATTTCTAATAGGGGATCCTCCCCATTTTTTTTCATTAAGAGTTACTGATTTAATGTAGCTTGTTAAAGATTTTTCTCCCTAAATGCTCCTTTTAAGGCTCTGCACCTACTGACCATATAGGTTTCCTGCTTCTGAGGAGTCTGGTAAAGGTTTTTGCAAAGGCTGTGAAAACAGCAAACCATCCCATCTTTTCTTGTTCTTGCCTATTACATTTAGCTTAACACAGCTTATTTTATTTTGTTTGTATGTAACTTAGTGGTTCCTGTTATTGTGCTGTTTATCCTTGCTAAGGTTTTAAAGAATTGAAGACTAAACAAACACAAAACCTCAGCTGTCTTGCCTGCACGCATTTAGTTTGCAAGTAACTCCTCTTTTTGATTTCCTCTTTGAAAAAAACTTCCTCATTTTTGTGTTCCACCCCTTTAAGTTAAACAATATTTATTTTCCTGTCCTTTTCTTACTTTGAGCCAATCTACACAAAGAAAATCAACATGGCTTTGCAGAGCTGCATTATGTATCAAACTGAAATCCATGTTCTAGTATTGATTTTGATAGTACTGATGTGCATTTGCTCATACGCGTAAAAACTTTGTTGTGTTTATTAAAGCGGTATGTGCATTTGGATTATATATCTAAAAATTTTGTCTGCAGACTGTTAGAGCTGATGTTCTGATGTGTTCTTGTTGCCAGTCATTATTCTAACAGTCGTAATTGGGATCTCGGCTGCTTCTGTCATGCTCCAGGAATTTAAGGATAAGGGGCACCATTATTTCTAGTTTTGCATGACTTGATTCAACGTGGAAATGATAGAATTCCTAAGGACCATGGCATACTGTTGCTCAGTAGGGATAATACACTTTCACCATCTAGTGTGTCCAAAACCCCGTGCGCTAGCAGCTAATAGTACAGTGTTTCACTAGACAAAACCTTCTGAATCTTTTAATGTTGGTTCTAACACTCCTATTGTGTACAAAAGCTGTCACGTTACCCCACCTTTCCCACGCAGACCTACATCACCTGCCAGTCCAACACACACTCTCCTCTGTACCACAACCCCGTTAATGTAAACACCATCTCCGCCTCAGCCCAGGCCTGCAAGGTCAAGTGCTGGAACCTTCCCTGCCC